TCACATGTTTTCCTTAGGTTTGAAGCTGGAGATAAAAGCATAACTTGAGTGACTCTTGTAGAGAAGGAGTGATGATGTGGGATTCTGCACCTGCCTCTCTGCCTCTGAGTGTCTTTCTTGCTGTTCATGTACTGCATCCTTTGCTGAAACAAATATCAGGTGTGAGTACAGCTTTATAGAGAGTTGTGTGCGTTTTTCCAGTTGAACCACTGAACTAGTGGGTAGTCATGGGATCGCAAAGATAGGCTCACTGAGCAGACAGGAAATTAAGAGATCTTAGGGGTGGGAGGGAAAGAGGAATTAAAATCAGTTTCCTTACAACGTGCCTTGCTCACTTTCATGACTTGCAATACAGTCATATGGCTTTTGAACAGAAAAATAGATGGTTTTACCATTTTAGCCACATCAGTGGTTCAAGATTCTCTTCAGCTTTAATTCACTTTAAGAATTACTGATGGTATATTTTGTGACACTGTTGTGAATCTTATATGTAAGGTCTTTAAATATATGCAAAAGGAGTATTATGAAAAAATTATGCACGAATTTCAAACTTCACTAAACCAAAAACAAAGTGATCTTTTAATTCCATTTTCTATGAGCTTCTGAAGTATCCTTGTAAAATTATTATCTTCAGATACCTCAGTTCTACTCAAATACCATTACTAAGTATCTACCCTGTATCAGACACTTAGCAAAGTGCCGGGGATAAGAAGGAGAAGCTAAAGCTCCTGTCCTAGAGTCTGGAGAAGGACACTTACATAAGCACTATAACAGATCAAAATACTCCCTAGGCTTCTCTTAATCTTTCTTCCTAACAGTATTCTAGACACAGGCAATATAAAAGATTGCATTCTTAATGTCAAACTGAAATTGAAAGCACTGCATTGAGGCTATTTGATTTGAATGGATCAACTTTCTCATGAAAACTTCTCTGCAATAATCCATGAGTCTAACTAAATGAGTTATTCTATGCCCGTGTCAATGAGAAACCAAAGGCAAACAGAGTAATGGTAAAAATATTACCAGAAGCTATTTCTACTTCCTGAGGGTGAACACAGGATGCAATTGTCTGGCCACTGAATAGCTTTGCTATCCTTAGGTAAGTTTATGTTTCTGAAGTGATCATTCACTGTTCAGTTCAATGTAGAATAACAAGAACAATTTCTTTCCCTTCTATAAATCATTTTGAGTTCTATTTGTCCTTACTAACAACATTTTAGAAAAATCTATATTCTACTTTAATCATTTCTGCAAACTCAGCATAGCCAGATTATTCTTAAACCCTAATGTCCCCGTTTATATCATCAACCCAATTCGAATTCTAATCCTATTCTAAACTCATTTCTTTAGAAATGTCAGGTCATGTTTTTAAATAAAAACATTTTTAAATAAAAACATGAGGTAAAAATAATTATTTTGAACACAACTCAAAGATTGTCAGTTGCACATTTTTTTTACAATTTTTAAATGATTTATTTCAAGTAGATCAGACTCTACTTTTTACATATTTGTTGAAATAAAATTAATAAGCAGCAAGCCATACATATTTCAAATGTAGAATTTAATAACACGTGACTATGCTTCTGTGAAAGCATCGTCACCATCGAGATAATGAACACATCCAACAGTCCCCTAATTTCCTCCTATCCCTTTGGGAATCCCTCTTCCAACCTTCCCTAACCTCATTCTCAAGCAACTCTTTTCTTTTTTAAGATTTATTTTATTTATTTGAAAGGCAGAGTTTGGGTGATGGAGGTGGAGAAGGAGAAGCAGACAGAGAAATCTTCCATCCTCTGGGTCAGTCCCACAATGGCCAGGCCAAAGCCAGGAGCCCGGAGCTTCAGCCAGATCCCCGATTTGGATGCAGGGGCTCAAGGACCTAAGCCATCCTCTACTGTCCTCACAGGCACATTAGCAGGGTGCTGCATCGGAAGTGGAGCAGCCAGGACTTGAACCCAAATCATTTGGGATGCCAGCATTACAGGCAGCATCTTAACCCACTATGCCACAACGCTGGCCCCTCTCAGGCAACTCTTGATTTCCACTCTGTCACTATAGACTTGTTTACGTTGTCTAGATTTCCCTATAAACTGAACTGTAGAGTATGTTATGGACTGAATATTCATTTGCTGAAATCATAATCCCTAATGCAGTTGCACATATTTAAAAGAATAATGAACTAGCTATTTAAAAAAAAATCCATCCTTAATAACAAGTGTTGGTAAGGGTGTGAAAAAAGGAAACCCTAGTCTACTGTTAATGGGAATATAGATTGATACGGTCCATATATATATATATATATATTTTTGACAGGCAGAGTGGACAGTGAGAGAGACAGACAGAGAGAAAGGTCTTCCTTTTGCCATTGGTTCACCCTCCAACGGCCGCCACAGCTGGCGCGCTGCGGCCAGCGCACAGCGCTGATCCAATGGCAGGAGCCAGGTACTTCTCCTGGTCTCCCATGGGGTGCAGGGCCCAAGGACTTGGGCCATCCTCCACTGCACTCCTTGGCCACAGCAGAGAGCTGGCCTGGAAGAGGGGCAACCGAGACAGAATCTGGCGCCCCGACTGGGACTAGAACCCGGTGTGCCGGCGCTGCAAGGCGGAGGATTAGCCTAGTAAGCCGCGGCGCCAGCCCTTATTTTTAAAAGTATAGAGGTTCCTAAAAAGAAAAAATCAAAACTACCCTACAATCCAGTAATCTTTCTTCTCGATATATGCTAAAAGGAGATGAAATCATCACCTAATGAAGATATATGTATTCCATGTTCACTGAAGCATCAGTTAGAATAGCCAAGATATGGAAACAATCTGAGTGCCCATCAACAAATAAACAATGAAAATGTGGCATTTATTTATAATGCTCTGTAAATTACTATGCTAAGTGAAATACACCAGAAATAGAAAAATACAGCATGATCTCATTTATATATGGAACACCACCCCCCCCCCCAAAAAAAAAAAGCAAAAAGAAAAGAGAGGAGGAGGCCAAATAGCAATAGAGAATGAAATACTGGTTACCATGGGTAGGATTGGTGGGTAGGAAATGTAGGTCACAGGATGCAAAATAGCAGAAGTGTAGGATGAACCAGTCTAGAGATCTAATGTACAACATGAATACTATAGCTAATAAACTAAACTGTATTAGATATGTTTGATGAACAGGTAGATTTTGGATGTTCCTGTCACACACAGACAAACTGTCAAACGATAAATAGGTAAACTGCTTCACTATAGAACCAATTTACCTACATGTATCTCATAACATATAAGTCAAGAGTGGAATTCAAGAGAGAAGAGTGAGAGGCCAGTGCTTGGTGTAGCTTCAGGCCAGGGCGTTAACCTGCTGCACCACAGCAGGGGGCCCCCTATTTTATTATTATACTTTTCCAAACTGATTTTCCAGCCAATCTGTGCAAGTCATAATTTAGTGACATTTCAATATATTCCAAAAACTTTGGAAATATTTTCAAATATTATTAAGATATACTTGTTCTATGCTGATTAAAGTTTTTTTTCCTCACATAACTAAATATTTTGAATCAGAAGAACTTCTAAAAAATGTTTATGATAAGTACAGAACCTAGATAGTTTGGGATTAATATTTCTTGTGCTGTTGACCTCTCTAGGAACAGTGGATCTCATTTGCTTAAATGGCAATTGCACAAACAATTGAAGGTGTTCTCTACAGAACCCACAAAATGAGGAGGATGTACACAGTAACTGTACTTAAGACCTAGGAAAACAAATGTTACTAGATTGTAATGGTTAACTGGTAGATGAGGACTCCAATTCAAGCCTGACTCAACCCTGCACTCTTCAACACATCTTAGCCATTCTGATAAAATCTAAAACACTGAAAATTTTTATATACTCATATTTAAATTTTATATCCATGATAAAAGATCAACCAATAAGTCACTAATCAATTCTAAAAGTGGAGCATAAGTCTAAGTGGGAGCACCATTTAAAAACTGCTTTGAGAAGCTTATTAATTACAAATTACTCCTAAGTTTCAAATCTAAGGTACTTTTGTAAAGCACGGCTCTAAAGAAATTTAATTGTATAAGCTATACTTAATTAAAAGCCTGCTTAGTAGAATATAAAACCATAAAATCTACCATTAATCAATTAACCTAACAACTAGCAAAAAAAAGGAGATATTTTTAGAGAATAAAATTAAGTTTCAGGAGATAAACTAAATCTACTCTATTTCTTTGGACATTTTGGAATTTACTTAATTAGAAGGGCTAGTGTTGTCACAAAAGAAAAACGTAATCTTAAGTCTAACTGCTATTCATAAAAGAAAAACATTACTGATGTATTCAGTTTTTTTTTTTTTTTTTTAATTTTTTTTGACAGGCAGAGTTAGACAGTGAGAGAGAGAGAGAGAGAAAGGTCTTCCTTTTTCCGTTGGTTCACCCCCCAAGTGGCCGCTACGGCCAGCATGCTGTGCCGATCCGAAGCCAGAAGCCAGGTGCTTCCTCCTGGTCTCCCTTGCGGGTGCAGGGCCCAAGCACTTGGGCCATCCTCCACTGCACTCCCGGGCCACAGCAGAGAGCTGGCCTGGTAGAGGGGCAACCGGGACAGAATCTGGTGCCCCAACCGGGACTAGAACCCGGGGTGCCAGCACTGCAGGCAGAGGATTAGCCTAGTGAGCCACAGTGCTGGCCGTATTTAGTTCTATAGAGTCCTCTTTCAATATTACTCTACGTACCAATGACTTCTAATTTTTCATTAGAATTAACATATTTGTCGACATCACTGGAAAGCCAAAAACTATATAGAGATGATTTTTGTCAATGAGAACTGTAAAAAGATTATTCAGCACCAGAGCTCAAACATGTCTAGCTCAATTCAATTTCAAATGTTATTATTATGAAATGTTTTTACTGAGAGAAAAGTCTTGTGGTTGCATTACATAGGTACTAAAACAATAAAATATCTTAAATAATCAAATTTTAAACTATTCTAAAATGAAGACTAAAAAATGCATCTACCTTATGATATCCATTGCCTGGTACAGTATTTCTGATTGATCAACTCCAAGAACCTTCTTTGCCCCAGCTTTAGCAGCAAACATAGAGAGAATTCCAGTTCCACATCCAACATCCAAAACCACCTGGCATAATAAAAAAACAGATGTCATCAAAAAGGTCTTTTAAATTTTTTTTTTTTAATTTGACAGGTAGAGTTATAGACAGTGAGAGAGAGACAGAAAAGGGTCTTCCTTCCCTTGTTTCACTCTCCTAATGGCCGCTATGGCCGGTGCGCTGCGCCGATCTGAAGCCAGGAGCCAGGTGCTTCTCCTGGTCTCCCATGCGGGTGCAGGGACCCAAGCACTCGGGCCATCCTCCACTGCCCTCCCAGGCCACAGCAGAGAGCTGAACTGGAAGAGGAGCAACTGGGACTAGTACCCGGTGCCCCGACCGGGACTAGAACCTGGGGTGTCGGCGCCTCTGGTGGAGGAATAGCCAAGTGAGCCATGGTGCTGGCCTTTTATTTTAAATTCTATTCATACATTGTAGTGTTTCTGACCAAGAAAAGATGACAAACATTTTACATTTTTCTAGCACATATGGTAATTTCTACTTGAGGGAAACGGAAGATATTACGGTGGACTGTTTTAAATCAGTAACAGCATAATTAGCCATAATTTTAATCTGCTGTCATTAGGCCCAACCATGCTAAATTTACATTTTGTGGGGCTGGCGCTGTGGCGCTGTGGGTTAACGCCCTGGCCTGAAGCACTGGTATCCCTTATGGGTGCCGGTTCTAGTCCTGGCTGCTCCACTTTCAATCCAGTTCTCTATGGCCTGGGATAGCAGTAGAAGATGGCCCAAGTCCTTAGGCCCCTGCGCCGCATGGGAGACCCAGAAGAGGCTCCTGGCTTCGGATCAGCACAGTTCCGGCTGTTGCAGCCAATTGGGGAGTGAACCATCAGATGAAAGACCTCTCTTTCTCTCTCTCTCTGCCTCTCCTATCTATGTGTAACTCTCTCAGATAAAAAATAAATCTTCAAAAAAAAAAAAAGACATTTTGTATGAAACAAGCAATTTCAATAGATTTCTTCATAGACATTTATTGTTTTTAATTTCCCTACTATAGCTATGTTCTAATTTGGGCTCAATAATTGTAGATTTTAGTAGAAATAAACCTTTTCAAGCATGAATGGCAGGAATTAACTTAAGCAGAACTGCTTGATCCAAAACAATTTAAAAATGGTTATAAACGAATTAAGGTTGTAGAATATCACCATATCTTTTCCATCTTCAAAATCAGTCAACTAAATTTAGTAAATGCCAAAAAACTAAGAATAAACTTCAAAATCCAGTAACTCAATTATTAGTAAAAGTACTTAGAAGAACCAAAATTTAAGATGATACTGGGGGCAACTGGGGAGCAATTATTTCTAGATCAGAATCTCGTAAGGCTTTCTCAGAATGGGATAGTGAAACCTGCTCAATTCATAGTAAAAACAAAAATAAGTTGCCACGAGAACATTAAAATACTTGGAGGTATGCTACTCCGAAATTACTAAAAGTTTCAGTACTTTAAGTCTTTTATTATCAATGGTGAAAAATCTTAGATATTTTCCCAAAAATATGAAAACCTTTGTCCTTTCCTACTGTAAGGAATTACGGAACATTACCAAGAAGCAAGCATTATCTCAGTGATGGGGCACAGCCACAAACAAGACCTACCACCTCCCCTAAAGGTGCTTACAGTCAAGTAGGAGACACAGATATTAAACAAGTAAAAAATGGCATCTGGAAGTGGTATTACAAGGAAAATCAAGTAGAGGCTGCAAGGGTGGCATTTTAGATAGGTCTGAGAATACCACCCTGATCCAGGTGAACAGAGAACCAAATGACATAAAGGGGTGTGCCAGGAAAAGATCCAGTGTTAGACCATTTTAGTCATGGAGGCTATTAAATGCAAAGCACAAAATCCCAGGCAAAGACAGCTAGCATGACTTAGCTAGCTGACAAAAAGGCCATGCGGAGCTAAGAAAGGTCAGAATTAGGCAGGGGTTACATTACACAGAGACTTCAATTTTATACAAGGCAAGGAAAAACTACTGTAAGAAAAATAAAACCATTTTAAAACACAGAATCTATTATACTGCTAACCAATTTTTTTATTAGGTAATATATTTATAGCTTAATCATCAAAATATTTCTTATTAATCTTTTAAGAGAATTTTTATGCACATTACAAGCTGTTTTCCTTTCTCCCTTCTCCTTTTAACCCAAATGGTAACTTACTATGCTCACTGTGTTACATGTTCCTTTTTAATTTTTTACTTCATTTAGACCTCTTTCTGTATCAGTTTTTAGAATTCCTTTCCTTTATATAGCTGTGTAGGAGTCCATATTATGGCTGTACCATAATCTACCAATCCAGTTTCCTATTGAAAAGTATTTAGGTAGTTTCTGAAATTTTACTGTGATAATAAATGCTATAAATAACCTAATATATAATTCCATTCCCACATGAGTATATCTATAGGATATATTCCAAGAAGTGAAAACACTGAGTCAAAAATTATATCTGTAACTTTAATTTTGTTAGACATAACCAAATTAGCATGCACTGGGCAATTCTACTCCTGAAGGTCCCAATGAATCATGTGTCAGTACCAACTACTTTATAGATCAGATCAGCCCAAGGAATACACAAATTTTTGAATATCTCCCAAACTGGTAATCACAAGGTAATGACACTGGTCTAGTTTTAATATTTTTTTCTTACTCATTATTTAGCATAATTTCTGATGTTGTAGAGATACCTGTATTTTTATGACAACTATCTACTTATATTCAGTCTGCATTTTTTCATTGATGTTAGTCCTTTTCTTATCAATGTAATCAAACAAGAGTTCTTTTGAGATTAGCTATCTGTGATATGATTCGTAATGTTTTCTTTTAGCATTTTTTTAAAAAAAGATTTATTTATTTGAAAGGCAGACTGAGAGACAGGACAGACAGATCTTGCCTTCATCGTTCACTCCCCAAATGGCAACAACACAGCTGGTCTGGGCCAGTGGGCCAGGCTGAAGCCCGGAGCCTGGAACTCCACTGGGGTCTCCCATGTGGCAGTCAAGGGCCCAAACACTTGGGCCATCTTTTATTGCTTGCCAGGCACATTAGCAGGAAGCTGGGTCAGAAGCAGAGCAACCAGGACTTGAACTGGTGCTCCAGTATCAGATGCCAGTGTCACAGGAGGTGACTTAGCACATTAGGCTGCAATGCTGGACCCCTTCAGGATATACAGTGATTACTGCTGTACAGAAAATTTTTAATTAGTTAAACTTATTAACTTTTTTGTCAGTGGTTTCTGAACTTTGATAATTGTACAAACCTTCCCCAAAGTGTACTCAATTACATCCTTATACATTTCTTCCTATTTGTGCTTTCATTAACACAAGTTACTTTTTAATCATGACGTAAGAGGCAATGTTCTACTTTTTTTCAGAAAGCTAACAAATTGTCCTAATATCAATTATTAGTCTGTTTTCCCCATCCCCCCAATTTGAAATGAAACCTTTACCATTTACTAGTATTTCTGCATATATCTGGGTCTATTTTGGATTTTCATTTGTTCCAATAATCTATACATTCACATGAGACTATTTTAGTTAAAGAAACTTTGTAGATTATTTTAGCATCTAATAAAGCTGATCTACCCTTACTTCAAAAATTCTCCTACAGTGCTTTGGAATAAGTTTATATATTTTTCTACGTGAACCTGAGAATCAGTTTCTCTGTCATAAAAGAAAAGTCAAAGAATTTTCAAGAGAATTGAGCTGAAATTGCAAATTAACTTAGGGAAAGCAGACAATTTTATTTGGAATTTTCCTATTCAGAAACAGTATAATTTTAAACTTTAAATCATTACTCTTCAGTTTTTTTAAAAAAATCTCTGTTCAGGTAAGTCCTGCACATAGTTCATCAGTATTTTATCTTCTGTATTATTATAAGTGAGATTCATTATATGCTAAAAATACAACTTAATGTAACTGACTCCAAAAGACAGAAAATCTCAACAGTCTGGTATTTACTAAAGAAAGTTGTCAAAACACAGTATCAGGGGCTGGTGTTTGTTGTGGCAGTTAAGCTACTGCTTGTGATGCCTGCATCCCATATCAGAGTGCCTGGGTTCCACCTTTGCCTCCATTCCCAATTCTAATTTCCTCCTATTGCACACCTTACTAATGCACACCCTGGGAAGTAACAGGTGACAGCTCAGAGAGTTGAGTTCCTGTCACACAGATGTGACACCAGGACTCAGATTTCAGCACTCTTATTTGGCCTAGCACAATTCCAGCTGTTCAGGCATTTGGGAAGTGAACCAGCCAATGGGCAGTATCTGTCTATTGTTTGTTTCTCTGTCTTTCAAATAATTTTAAAAAGGGGCACTGTTTTGGGCCTAACCCCTGCCTAGATGGTTTCCCGGTAATGATCTGCCCCTACATTCAGCCTGGCCCAGCCTGGCCCAGCCCTGAAGTTATTCAGGATGAAACCAGCAGATAGATCTGTCTCTCCCTCTCGCTAACTTTGCATTTCAAATAAATAAGTAAATAAATTTTTTAATAATTTACATGATTAAGATGGTAAATTTTATATTATGTGTATTTTACTGCCACTACCATGACCACAATAACAAATCTGGAGGAAATAAAATGTTAAAAAGGAATGAATTATCTCTATGAAAAATTTCTGAGTGAAGACAATATAGAAGGACATGAATAGTACACTTCAGTTAGAGTATGTTTTCTCTGGTAACACACACATACATAATGTGTAAATGTACATACAAATATATTTGATTGTTATTTAACCCTCAATTACAAAAGGAGGTTCCAGAGAGGGAAAGAAACAGGTGAAGAGTCACCCAACAGGTAAATTATAGAATGAGAATTGAAACATAGGTCAATTAGCCTCTAAAGCCTCTATTTTAAATTACCTATCAATTATTTCTCACATGTAGCTTTGGAGGAAGTGATTATGCAGACAAAACTTGATGGAATTAAAGAAAGAGGTGGAAATGACAGGATAACATTATTTTACAAAATGATGAAGGAATATGATTTACTTGTTCTAAAAGATGACAAAAAATTTATCAATTGTAACTGTAGATAATAACCAAATGCATAAAGAAGCCACCTAACTGGGAATTTCTCCAATGAACTACAAATAGAAATTAATTATGAGTGGGTGATAGTGTGACTGAACACCAAAGTTAAATTAATATGAGAAACCATATGGCCTCCACAGGAGCTTTGTGAACTGAAAATATATTAACAACAGGAGGCATGGGGGAGGTGGAAAGAATGGAGGGAAAAGGGAAGGAAAAAAGGAAGAAAAATATTTTTAACTGTAAGTACTCTTCAAAAAATCTCTATTATGCATTTATATAATGTGATATAGAAGCTGGTATGGTGATGTGGTTTGCCATTCTAATTGCATCAAAAGCAAATAGAAAAAAATGGAAATAAAATTTAAGAAACTGTTATTTCCTACATTTTAAAAAGAATTATATTTTTGTTTAATGAGGAAATTGAAAATTTTATTATGTTTCTTATTTTGCTACAGAGCTGCTGCTTCACTGTATAAAACAGCATCAGCAAATGCAGTATACTGCAAAATTAAGATAGTATTGTTCTTTCTCTGGCACTGTACAACAAAAACTGTTCTCTATTCCCAGTTACTTCCAATGGAAAGATCATTCCATATTTTGACCAATCCAGGGATGGGTATAAGAAAGTTACAATATTACAAAAGGCTTAAAATAACAATGTGATCTTTGAATTACATTATTTCTATAATTAGTTTTTACCACAGATAACGTCATGTATTCTACATACTAGTGTCTAGACCCTAGTATAAAAATCACAAGGTACTGTGAAAAAGATACATATTGCGTTCATTTGCAATCATTACAAAGTTAGGGGAGATTTTCTTCCAGTAGCAGAGTTGAAAGTATTATCTCTTCCCATCAATATTGCTAAAAGTTGCTATTTTAAGTCCTGTTATTCCATACTAGTTCACATAAGGGTTCCACTTTCATTCCTCAGTAGATTTTATGTATTTCTCATAGGCTTCTTCACTCATTAGTTCATCTAGTTCTGAAGGGTTACACGGTGTCATGTTGATCAGCCAACCATCTTCTAACAAGATTTGTTGACCAGTCCTGGGTTTTCTTCAAGGGCTTCCTCATTAATTTCAGTTACTTCTCTGGACAGAGTAGAATAGAGTTCACCAGCAGCTTTCACATTTTCCAAAGCACGAAACTTAGCTTGTTCTTTCAATTTTGTCCCAACTTCAGGCAGGCTACAATAACATCTCCCAAAGCTTCCTGTGCAAAATTGCCAATTTCCACTGTTCCAATACCATTTTCTGTTATTATCCATTCATGTTTCTCTGTGAATTTACGCACCAAAGGCAGAGCAGGTCCCATATGCGGCATCTGGACTGCGCCCGCCCTCAGTTGCCAAGGCAGAGGTAAAGAGGGTGCAGCAGGCGCCGAGGCCATGAGCAAACCTGCAGGCTCCATGCCACTAGCAGTGCCATGTTTGCACAAAAAGAATTATATTTAAATAATTTCATGACTACATCCTGTTATGGCACACGGCAATGATACCACTTACATGTGAAAAACAGTATGAGTTGATATGTAACATATCCCATTTGAATTATTACTTAATTACTCTATATTAACATAATGGTGTTCAAAGCATGGTGGCAGAGTTAGCAGCCCTAGACATAGTAAAAAACTGATTATTTTTTCTAGTTTTGGGGGCAAGTCAATTATCTTACTAGTTGAAGTTTCTTCATGAGTAATATGGAAACAAATATGTGTCCTAATTATATTATATAGTAACAATGGGACAATATATTTGAAATTAATCTGTCAAATTATCAAAAGCTATTTAAATATATATTTTCTAAATCAGCAGCCTTAGTGTAAAAAAAAGTACCCCAAATCATTTAAAAACATGAGCTCTTTGGATTTAATATTGTTAATTATAGAAAATTGTACCCTGAATGTGCTTTAACTGATCCTTTTTTTTAAGTTTATATAGTTATTTTCATCTAGTTGAAAAGCACAGCAATAGTGAGAGTAAAAGAAAGAAACAGAGAATCTTCCATTTTCTGGTTCACTCCCCAAATGTCCACAACAGCCAGCACCAGATCAGGACAAAGCAAGGAGCCAGTAACTGCCATAAGGGTGGTAGAGGCCCAGGCACTTAAATCATCAGCTACCTCCCAGCGTGTGCAGTAGCTGGATTGGAAGCACAGTCGCTGGGACTCCCCTGCATTTCAACATGGAATGCAGGTGTCCCAAGTAGCTGGTTAACCCATTATAACACAATGCCCTCTCTGTATAATATTTTACATTACAGCATTGAAAACATAAATAACAAGCAAATGTGTTACACACTAAGTTAAATGCAAGCAGCTTAGGTAAAATACCAAAGAAAAATACATTCAATTTAACAAATTAGAAGAAGTGGTTCATGTATAGAGAAATATACACTAACACTAAGTGTTCAATGATTCATCTTGTAATTACTGGTATTCGAGCCTTTTCAGTGCTCTTCTGCCTACTGTAAGGTGAAAATACATCCAAGAGTATACTGAAGGAGAAACCTCTAACTTCTTGAACCAATTTATTCATCTTACACAAATATTAACAGAAGATGTCTCAAAGAAAGATAATGAGGATGCTCTCACAACAGCAAAAATTACAGAATTTTAAAACCAGAGGGATTCAAAAAAATCACTTGATATACAAGGTCCAAACAGATGCATTATTTGCCCAAAATTATATAGCTAACTCCTGACTAGCCAATATTAGCAATTCCCAGACCAGCACATGCTTAAATTATATAAAATATATAAAGGAAAAAATGAGATTAAAATCTTGGCATAATCTAACTCAAAACAAACTAAGTACTAATAAGTATGATTTTAAAAATGAAATCATGTATGTCTATGATGGGAATCAGCAAAAACACACAACTGTAAGTCCTTCATGATATACTTTGGCCAAAAGATATCACAGCATCATATAAATTTCAGAACATTTCTGTATAACTCAGCTAACTCATAAGTGAAACAGTACCCTTATGAAAGAAACATAGAAAATGAAAAATCAACCCAGATTTCTAAAAAGTCAACCCAGATTTCTTTCCAAGCACTATAAAAATGAGGAAAAAACAGTCTCAACACATAAATGTTGTTTCTACTCCAATACCACATAAAGCCCATAAAATAACCTTAGAGAAGTATCCTTTAAAATGGAGATGAAAAAGGAATTATAAAAATCTGTTACGTTATCAATATACATGTTCTTGAAGGAAAAGGGTGGGAAAAATTTCCAAGCAGTTTTATAAATGAAGTGATCATAATATTGTTGACTAAATTAGTGGACTAATTTCCAGTAAGAAAGAATAAACAGAAAACCTGAACATTTAAGTAACTGAGCCAATGCAGACAAAGAGGAAAAGAGAGATAGAAGGAAGGAAGGAGTAAGGAAAAAATAAACAATTTCATAAGGAACAAAAGAGCAAATGACACAAATTTCAAACACACATACACGAGTATGATCATCTTTGAAATAACTTGAGGCAGTATTAAACTAATTGTAAAATACAAAGTAACTCAAAAAGAGGTGAATTAATAAGGTAGTACAAGAACGCATAAAATGCAAGTTCTACCTTATAATATTTAACCCTCTTCATTAATAACATCTTAAAATTGTTAATTTTTAATGACTTAATATAAACTAGAATAATAATTAAAAGTGTGCTGTGGGGGCAGGTTGGTGGCCTAGCAGTTAAGAGACAGGTTAGGATGTCAGGGTCCCAAATCCCAGTGCACAGGTTTGAGTCCGAGTTCCAGTTCCTGATTCCAGTTTCCTGCCAGCACAGACCTTGGGCAGCAGCAAGCGATGGCTAAAACACTGGGTTCCTATCACTCACATGGGAAATACAGATTGAATTGAGTTCCTGGCTCCTGGGGAATGAACCTGCAGATCAGAGTGCTTTTTTTCCTGTTTTCTGCCTCTCGAATTAAAAATACTTAGGGGTATCTCTGTATTTGTTTCTAAATTTAAAAAATCCAAAGGTGTGCTTTAAGGTTTGTCTAATACATTTGAAATTCAGAGGCATTACTGTAAATCAAAGTACAGTTTAAGTAAAATTATCTGAATGAGGATTTAACTAGGCTTTGTCATTGTAATTAATGACTTAATCTTTTTTACAAAAGTGTGGAATGACAGCACCAATCAGCATTTCTGTTATCAATATTCTGCATCACAGAACATTATCATAAAAGTCTTCCATGAAATAAAGCTAGAGTATGTTAAATCAACTGCTTATCATGATGATGACCCAACAGAGGATAATGCCCAAGAACACCACAAAATGTGCAATTCTATTACTCTATTCTAAACCTCTACTACTTACCTTGTCTTTGAAGATATGTGTATTTTGGTATATAAAATCTCTGTAGCTTTCTGTTCGTACTTTATCCTAGGGTAGAGAGAAAAAAACATCATTTCACAAGATAGGTAAACAATTTTTTTAGAAAAGTATTTGCTATTTTATCACACACTGCTAGTTTCCACAGCTACTTTTTGCCTGGAAAATTAAACTTTTTTTTTTTTCAAAAAAAAATAATAAAGAATATAAGTAGCAACAACACAAAAACAAAATATTTAAGATCACTGAATGTCAAGTAAGAGCTGTTTACATTCTTAAAAACTGCACACATTTTCCTCTTCACATGTATTTTTTACCATAAGATTTCAAGTGATGATTAAAGCTAACAAAAGATGATCATCATATATGCTCCTTTGAAAAGAGCCTGGAACCTAGAGCCTGTACTTAATGTAACAGAGCTATATTAAAACAGGAAAGAGAAAAAGAGGTAAACATAAAAGTTGCAGTTACATATGAAAAATGAAGGCATTCTGAATACATTTTTCTAAGAAAGTCGGTGATCACCCCATATCTCATTTATAATACAGTTTAATTTCTAGAAATTTCTGTACTAGGAAATGATCCTTAAAAGCCTGTAAGCCTAAAGGTAAATCATTTAAGCACCAAAGCCCAGATTATGAGACTCCTACACTGATATGCAACCATAGCAGGCATTCAACTCTAACATTTACGTTGGTTCATGCACTGATTCTCTAAGTTGAGACACACATTGACTGCAAATTAAGCAGTCAGGGGCTCTGCTACCGAGTAAATAATGACTTTGATAAAAATAAACATCACAGGACAATCCTGGTTTTGAGTCTCACACTACGTAAAAAGAGTTACACCAAATGTTATAATATGGAAATTTTATACAAACCATAGTTCCCCAAAACATTTTTATGCCAATATTGAGCCTTTTTTAAAGGCTCACTAGGCTAATCCTCCGCCTTGCAGCGCCGGCACACCGGGTTCTAGTCCCGGTCGGGGCGCCGGGTTCTTTCCCGGTTGCCCCTCTTCCAGGCCAGCTCTCTGCTGTGGCCCGGGAGTACAGTGGAGGATGGCCCAAGTAATTGGGCCCTGCACCCTATGGGAGACCAGGATAAGTACCTGGCTCCTGCCATTGGATCAGCGCGGTGTGCCAGCCGTGGCGGCCATTGGAGGGTGAACCAATGGCAAAAGGAAGACCTTTCTCTCTGTCTCTCTCTCTCTCTCACTGTCCACTCTGCCTGTCAAAAAAAAAAAAAAGCGTATCTTAAATTGGAACTCAAGTCATTTTACTTAATTACTGGACCTTAGAAGGGAAATATTCATAACTAACTGGAAGCATTCTGATTATCACATCTACCTGCTCTACAAAAATTTTGTTAAGCTTATTAAATTTTCCCCTTTATTAACTTTTAATTCTTAAAATATATTTTAAGAAATTACTAGGGAAAGTTACTGTTTAAATAAATTTATATATATTATCTATTTTCAAAACTTTTAAAGCATACCTATATATACTTATATTTACTTATATATACATATATCATATATATGAATGTACATTTTATATACATATATACTTATTTTTAAACATTAAATATGCTTATATTTATATTTATACTTATTTATATTCTGCTTACACGATAACCAGTGATTTTTGCTAAAACAACAAAACCTAAAATGGGTGATTGCAGTCACTTGGAAAGTTTTCACCAATCACACTGGCCCACCACTGTTTAACTCAATCAATGGAATCCCAACCACTGCCCTAACTCCATGCACTGCTGCTCAAGAGAACTGCAATCTTTCATTTTGGTTCTTTCTATATGTGTTCACCCCACTATATGGAAATTCAAAGCGCAATACAAACATTGTGCCTTGTGTATAGCACAGCCTCAATTTAAAAACTGAAATTCTGAAAGAAATAACCCACTTAACATGAATATGCAAACAGAAGACTAGCTTTTGCAACCATCCCTAAAAATTTATTCCAAAAAAAAAAAAGACTAACACAAAACAAGGTTTAAAGAGAAATTTATCTTTTCTACCAACCTATTAAAACAAAGAACAAAATCAAGCTCTAAAAATCAAGGCGAAAATATATTTTGATTAGTAAAGTACAATGGGATTATTTCTACAAATATTAAAAAAACTAAAAATGAGACTAATAGACAAGGTATGTACTATTTATTTTACCTACACAGATGACAGTGTTTTTAATTTATAGACTTGTGAAATTTGACAGAACGCATGCATTAGCTGCTGGTACAATGGGAAGAATATAGTAAAGAAACATCGCCAAAACTTCAAATTAACACTATGACCTGTATATGTGCTACTAGGGAGAACAATGTTTCTCCTAAAAAAATCAAATAAAAAAAAGTGGTGCTTTCAGGTTATATTAATAATGACTCTGCTTTGAAAAAATGAAGTGGCAAGGAATTTCAAAATCTATCCCCTTATAGCTATCTCTGAAATTCAAAAATTTATCCTCATCTTAACACCGCTAATAACTTGCTCAAAATCATAATTAAAACATGTGCTTGGCCGGCGCCGCGGCTCAATAGGCTAATCCTCCGCCTAGCGGCGCCGGCACACCGGGTTCTAGTCCTGGTCGGGGCGCCGGATTCTGTCCCGGTTGCCCCTCTTCCAGGCCAGCCCTCTGCTGTGGCCAGGGAGTGCAGTGGAGGATGGCCCAGGTGCTTGGGCCCTGCACCCCATGGGAGACCAGGAAAAGCACCTGGCTCCTGGCTCCTGCCATCGGATCAGCGCGGTGCGCCGGCCGCAGCGCGCCGGCCGCGGCGGCCATTGGAGGGTGAACCAACGGCAAAGGAAGACCTTTCTCTCTGTCTCTCTCTCTCACTGTCCACTCTGCCTGTCAAAAAATAAAAAAAAAAAAAAAAAAAAACATGTGCTAAAGTCATTAAAATACCTAAGACTAAACAAAATGCCAATTTTAAGCATAAAAATAAATCCTGTAAATACGGCTTCTGAATTTTAAATTATTTATAAAAATTAGATAACACTGTAGTGATAAGTTAACAATGAACAGTTTATATCTGCTAAGAACTATTCTGGTTAGAAAGAGAAGAAATATAGATTAAGGTGCATTTTACATTCACCCATAGCACATAATGCAAACTATAATACATAGTTCTTTCTGAATTGAACATATCCATGTTTTCCATGAAATCACTAGAACTTAGTTATCTTCAAGGGGCTCAGATGACCATCATCTCCAAGAGGTAATGATACTATACAAAAGCTAAGGGAAACCAAGAAATGGAGAGTGATGTTAATAAGAATTCTTAAATGGTTCTCTCAAGGGAAGAAGATGGCCCTGGAAGCTTTTTTTTTTTTTTTTTTTTTTTTTTTTTAAGATTTATTTATTTATTTGAAAGTCAGAGTTACACAGAGAGAGAAGAGACACAGAGAGAGCAAGAGGTCTTCCATCTGCTGGTTAACTCCCCAACTGGCTGCAACTGCCAGAGCTGTGCCGATCTGAAACCAAAAGCCAGGAGCTTCTTCTGGGTCTCCCACACCGGTGCAGGGACCCACGGACTTGGACCATCTTCTACTACTTTCCTAGGCCATAGCAGAGAGCTGGCTCAGAAATGGAGCATCCAGGACATGAACCAGTGCCCATATGGGAAGCTGGCACTGCAGGTGGCGGCTTTACCCTGCTACACCACAGCAATGGTCCCTGGAACTTCTTAATCTCTATGAATCAGAGGACCTAAAGGTACACAGTCAGATGTGAACACTCCCTAGTTTAAGAGACAGCTACGAAAAAAAAAAAAAAAAAGAGAGAGAGAGAGAGACAGCTACGGAGACAGAGCTGTGGCATAGAGGGTAAAGCTGCCAGCTGCAGAGCCAGCATCCCATATGGGTGCTGGTTCGAGTCCCAGCTGCTCCACTTCCAATCTAGCTCCCTGCTAATGTGCCTGTGAAAGCAGTGGAGGATGGCCCAAGTGCTTGGGACCCTGCACTTATATGGGAGACCCGGAAGATCAGCTCCTGGCTCCTGATCAGCACAGATCCAGCTGTTGAGGCCATTTGGGGAGTGACCCAACAGATGGAAGGTCTCTCTGTCTCTCCCTCCGACCCCCACAACAAGTGTCCAGGATAGAGATTTGTAGTGCTAATTATTCAAACTAAGTTTTCCTGATGACTCTAGGAGAACACTCAAATCTACTGGGAGTCTCAGTGCTCTTTGTCTGAAAAGCCCAAAATAATTTCTATAACAAACCCATTAAAGGGCCATGGCATTTAAACTGGGGGGTGATTTAAAATGATAAACACAGGCTGAGATTAACTCCTGCAATGACAACAAATTCTACACAACATAAAATTAACAACAAAAAACAGAGAATGTCAATTTCTTTTAAACAAGTTCACTTAAAATCATTACTTACAAGATACCTGTAATTGGTAATGCTATGTCACTATTCATGTGACAACAAAAAGCACAAATGTGACACTGCTATGTATCAGCAAACTTCAACTCTGTGATTCTGCAAAACTGACTCAGCACAATATACACATACTATCAAATATTCCTGGTTATTTTAAATGCATACATTTCAGGAAAATCTATTCTTAGAGCTTCTGTAGAATAAAACAATTTTTGAAAGGATTTAGAAGGGTTTTTTTTGTTGGTTTAAGAAATGAAAAGGTAATGTAGCATTTAAAATTCAGAGATAAACATCTAAAAATTTCAGTAATTTTTACATTTTCACATATATTTCTTCTAGTTAGCTATTTTCAGTTTTACTGATTAAAATTAACATCCTACTTTTATATTCGTAATAGAATATTTAATAAAATGTGTAATTACAAGGTAAGAAAAATCTATTTCTACTTTATATAAATGTTACCATTATGAAAATAAAGACAAGCCAGACTTAAATATTTTATTTGGCCAATTTAGGAACTACTACCATATTATCAATGATTTCAAATGCAAAAAAGTTAACACCATAACAACCATGAGTTACCTGTCAAACTTTATACCAAAAATATTATTTAATTGCCTAATGAAAGGCAACATTGCTATCTAAAACACTAAAGCTAATCATTTCCTTTGTAAATTAAAGGGAAAATGCATCATTTAATTATCACTGCTGAACAGTTGCACTTGAAAACACTACTGAGTTTCTTCCCATGTTCTAAGAAGTGATTTCATAAATAATCTTATACAGAATTTACAAGGACTTTGATGCCTCTTTAATCTGTTCAACCTAAGATGAGCTACAAAGCTCCAAAAAGCTTTAAAAAGGAGTTCTAGGCTGTTCTTTTATGCAGCCTGTTGGGTTCCTCCGACCTGACAATAAACCTTTTCCCTTACTCTGGTTTAAAAAAAAAAAAAAAAAAAAAAAAAAAGTTCTAAAACAAAAACCCAGAATACCCTCCCCCACTAAAAATGCCAAAACACACCAAGCAGCAGTTCTCCCATTGTACACGTGTTAAGAAGGAACCTATTGAATTCTATTTTCCCCTTAATATGGCTTTGGAGCATCTGCGCTCTTTTCTAACCTTTAGCATTTCTTCATGTATCCCATAATGCCCGTATGAGCTGAAATAAACACCATCCTCATCCTCCTGGAGGTCTGCAATGGTAGTAGATGACGAGCAGGTTCTGACATCTGTGTTCATCACAAAATCCTGAGCAAATTGTCTGTAATCAATTTGAAATACACCCTTGAGACAGGTTTATTGGACCATGAAAGAAGGAAAGGCTAGAGGTTGAGGAAGAGAGGGGAGGGAGCGGAGTACTGAGTGGGATGAGCCTTTAAATCACATTCTATCCCAAGCAACCCAAAGCTCCCCCTGCTGGATCTTAACGCAATGGCATATTCAAACCAAGTTTGAAAGCACTTCTGCAAATCACAAAAACAACGTTAGCCGTGGATTAGAACTCTTTATATCTTCCAATTGAACAAAATAGCACTTTACCTTTACTGGAATTTATTATTTCTATTGTTTAAAGACTTTGTTTTAGAAGCTGAGTCAATTTAGCATATTTCAGCTCTGTTAACATTCTTTAAAACCTTCTTGAGAGGTTAAAATGGACAAAAAGTTGGCCCCTACAGATACTAACACCACCCATTCCATCTCTGTAACTCATCTCCCTCTTTGACATAATTAAGCACAGATTCGGCATGCTAGGGAGAGAAGTGCCAAGAACAGAAACTAGCTAGTGTTGGTTATGGAAGAACTAACTGGCTCTACCTTTTTTGCTGGACACTCTAGAAAAGTATCAAATAGGTGCTCTGGCACAAGCAACAACCTTACAAACTCAACAGGGAAAACTCTAAGGTATCAATCTCAGGCCTACTCCAGAACTCTCCAGTCAGAATCTGCATTTTAAGACGATCCCCAGGAGATTCTATAAACATTAAACTTTGAGAAGCCCTATAGCACTAGAAAGCTAATTTACTCACTACAAAGGCTGCTCCATGTTTCTGGTTTTCTGATTACTATAATCACATTTTGAATCTTTAAACACAATAATTTCAACCCTGTTATTTTTACTCAAACCTAAAAAACACTAATCCCTACACTTTTGAAAATCTAGGATAGGAAGAATTTGAAAAATGAATTGGAAACAGGCAAACTGAAAGGAAGACTATAGGCATCAAGGAACAAGAGCACAGCTGTCAGAATGACTACCATTAGTATAACAGTTATTACGAAAAAGTATATGAGAACAGGTAAAACCCTAAAATTTTATATTAATCAACAATATCCACAATATATAAAATGCTACATACATTTAACACTATTAAAATAGAAAGGTTCTACTATATTCTGCTTTGCCATTAGCTATATTATTCTGGGGAATCTAATTTTCTATAAGATTGGTTAATTACTTCATTCTCTGCAGATCCTCACGTGCTCTAGCAAATGCAGCTTCAGCAGACAGGGCCCTGGCTTCCATTTGTTTCAATTTTTCAACAACAGATGTATTGTCACTGAGTCCATTGGGGTATGAGAATGGGACTGACACTGGTTCATAAAGATCTTCTACATCTAAAGAAATAAAGGGACATTATTATCAGGCCATCTTATAACAATGAAATATGCATCATTATGTTAGGAATAAATATATCCTCGTACCCATTATAAAGTCAATTAAAAAATCATAAGTATTGATTTTTATTTATTTGAAAGGCATAGAGAGGCAGAGACAGAAAAGTCTTCAATCTGCTGGTTCACTCTCCAAATGGCCAGAACAGCTGGAGCTGGGCCGATCTGAACACAGGAGCCAGGAGCTTCTTCCAGGCCTCCTATGTGGGTGCAGGGGCCCAAAGACTTGGGCCATCTTCTACTGCTTTCCCAGGTCATAGTAGAGAGCTGGATCAAAAGTAGAGCAGCGAGGACTTGAGCTGGTGCCCATATGGGATGCCAGCACTGCAGGCGGCAGCTTTACCTAAGCCACAGCGCTGGCCCTTCAGAAGTACTTTTTTTTTAATTTATTTTTTTATTTTTGACAGGCAGAGTGGATAGTGAGAGAGAGAGACAGAGAGAAAGGTCTTCCTTTCTGCCGTTGGTTCACCCTCCAATGGCCACCGCAGCTGGCGCGCTGCGGCCGGCACATCGCGCTGATCTGAAGCCAGGAGCTTCTCCTGGTCTACCATGTGGGTGCAGGGCCCAAGGACCTGGGCCATCCTCCACTGCACTCCTGGGCCATAGCAGAGAGCAGAATCCGGCGCCCCGACCAGGACTAGAACCCGGTGTGCCGGCGCCGCAAGGCGGAGGATTAGCCTAGTGAGCCACGGCGCCTCAGAAGTACTTTTAATGAAATGTTTAACATTCAAGCTGTTTCAATTTGAATTCAGAGTATGCTAATATTCTAAATGTTTATTAGTCACCTAAGTTGAACATATATATGAACTTGAATTATATTGAGTTAAACCCAGGAAGAAAGGAAAAGGTAGAAGAAAAAACCCTAACATTTACAGATCACCAGGTATGTTTCAAGTATACATGCATTATATCTCATTTCATCCTAACAACAAGCCTAAGATGTCAATAAATATTTATCTCTATTTTAAAGTACTGGAAAAATAAATTTCAGCAAAATTAAGTAACTAACCCAAAGTCACATGGATGTTTAATGAAGAACCAAGATTCAAACCCAGACCTGCCCTCCTAGCTCATGGACTCGCCACTTCACAAGATCACAAGCTGTGCCCTGATCTATAGAAAAGCAGGTTTTCCATTTAGATATTCTTTAAGTGGAATCCAGCCACTTGTGTTGACATGAATGAACCTGGAGAACATTATGCTAGATGAAATAAGTCAAATAAAGAAACACAACATTGCATGATCTCACATACATATGGGAACGCCACCCCCTCCCCCCAGAAAAATCAGAGAATGGTGGCTGCCAGGGGCTAAGGGTTAGGGGAAATGGGGAGATGCTGGTCAACAACGGCACAACTTTCAATTTTGAGGTAAGTTGTTAGCATCTAAATGACGCCATGGTGACTACTGTTAATAACGCTTACAGTGTATTTGAAATTGGCCAACACAATAGCTCTTGAGTATTCTCTACCCACACACAAATGTGTATATGAGGTGATGGGTATATTAAATAGATTGACTGGAATCACAATGCATACATATATATAATCATCATGTATATCTTAAATGTATATAACTTTCTTTTATCAATTAAGCATTAATAAAGCTAGAGAAAAAGAATATTCTTCAGGAACAATGTATAGATAAATAATTCTAAATATTCAATGACTTTTTCATTTGGGGCAAAGTAGAGTAGAATATATAAATTAATACTTTATAGTTTATATAGTTGATATTAATAAATATTAATTAAATTTTTAAATTTTAATTTCAGTACACATAAATCATTTAATGTTGTAGAATAACTACAAACAATATACATAGCTGGTAAGTTTCACAAAATCCTAATATCCACTTACCAGTCTAACTTTCAGATCAACTTTATCCTATAAACAAGGCAAATATTATATTTTCTCAATATAGCACTCCAGGAAATATGGCAATGTTTTCATCCCACTCAGTTTATAGCTGAAATATTTAAGAGGATATTTCTTAGAGAAAATAAGCTTGATATAAAACTGTAACTAACAGGATAGAGCTAAAGTTGAAATCTTGTTATAAAAGCCATGCTATATATTACTAACCTCTCACTATTCTGCAGAATACTGAGATGTTTTTAAAACTATATATTAGTTCATTATTTAGTTTACCAGAAAATAATGAGCACAAGAAACTATTTCCTGGACATTAAAGGCTCGTACAGCATTTTTTTTTTTTACAAACCTCATTTCTATTTTGTTTTCAAAATTCCTCAAAACTGTTGGACAAGTTTCTAATTACTTTCTGCTACAGTGAAAATCAGTCATATTAAAAACTCAAACAATCTGTAGATATTAAAGGTTAAACGTATAAACTTGAAAATGACAAAGTATTCCATAAACATTAAGATTCAGAGCAAATTCGTCACGACAGTCTAATTCAAAACCACATTCAGAGAGACGAAAACTGCCAGGTTTACATTCCGTTTCACGCTATTCAAATCACCTTTAAAACTTCCTTGAGGCAGATGAGAACTATTACAAAAGATGATCAATTTTTCATAAGACATAACATTACAAACATTTATAAATGTCACAAAAGAGCCCCAAAACACATGAAGCAATAAAAGGCAAAAGAGATAATCCTTCAATCACATCTCACTCAACCACTGATAGAATCAAATAAAAAATTCAATCTTTCTCTCATGCTGTCTCTCCTCCTAATTCTGTATTTCAAATAAATAAAAAATAAATCTTTGGGCCAGCTCTGTGGTACAGCGGGTAAAGCCGCCACCTGCAGTGCCAGCATCCCATATGGGCACCAGTTCCAGCTGCTCCATTTCCGATCCAGCTCTGTTAATGTGCCTGGGAAAGCAGTGGAAGACGGCCCAAGTCCTTGGGCCCCTGTACCCACGTGAGAGACCCAGAAGAAGCTCCTGGCTCATGGCTTCAATCACTGTGGCCATTTGGGGAGTGAACCAGTGGATGGAAGATACCTTTCTCTCTCTGTCTCTCTGTAACTCTGCCTCTCAAATACATACATCTTTTCAATAAATCTTTTCAAAAAATTCAAAAAGAAAAGATCCGAATAAAATTATCCAGCATCTCAACCTAATATTTATAGAATACTACAGCCAGTAACTGGAAAATATACATTCTTCTTAAATATAAACAGTATGTTCACCAAGAAAGACTAAGTGCCAGGCCATAAAAACAAGCCCCAATAAACCTAAGTGTTGAAAATGGAGTATGATCAGCCGGTGCCGCGGCTCAATAGGCTAATCCTCCACCTAGCGGCACTGGCACACCAGGTTCTAGTCCCGGTCGGGGCGCCGGATTCTGTCCTGGTTGCCCCTCTTCCAGGCCAGCTCTCTGCTGTGGCCCAGGAAGGCAGTGGAGGAGGGCCCAAGTGCTTGGGATCCCTAGCCATCAGGGAAATGCAGATCAAAACCACAGTGAGATACCACCTCACTCCGGTTAGATTGGCTTACATACAGAAATCAACCAACAACAGATGCTGGCGAGGATGTGGAGAAAAGGGGACACTAATCCACTGTTGGTGGGAATGCAAACTGGTAATGCCACTATGCAAGACAGTCTGGAGAGTCCTCAGAGACCTGAATATAGCACTACCACAGGACCCAGCCATCCCACTCCTTGGAATATACCCAAATGGAATTAAAGGGGTGAAAAAAGCCATTTGCACCTCAATATTTGTTGCAGCTCAATCCACAATAGCTAAGACATGGAATCAACCTAAATGTCCATCAACGGATGACTGGATAAAGAAACTATGGGATATGTACTCTCTGGAACACTATACAGCAGTAAAAAACAATGAAATCCGGGCATTTACAACAAAATGGAGGAAGCTGGAAAACATCATGCTGAGTGAAATAAGCCAGTCCAAAAGAGATAAATATCACATGTTCTCCCTGATCGATGGCAACTAAATGAGCACCTAAAATGATACCCACTGAAGTGAAATGGACACTATGAGAGACAATGACATGAGCAGCCCTTGGCTAGACTATTGAGGAACAACTTACTATTTTGTTCCTTTAGTATTTTTGTTGTTGTTGCTCGATTTGCTCTACACAAGACCACTGGTTGAACTCTGCAATCAATGCACAACCATTCTTAAGCTTTTAAAAATTAACAGAAAATTGATCTCTGTGGAACATTGGGAGTGGGAATAAGAAAGGGAGGAGATATATAGGACGGCACATACTCACTCAGACCTACCTCCAATGGTGGAACTGGAAATGTGCCAGGGGATTTCAACTCAACCTTACCAAGGAGGCAGGTACCAATGCCAGCACACTTGGTAAAGAGACAAATATAAATACACAACTGATAAAAAAGATAGGGTAAGTGTCAAAGAGATTACACAAATAAGACCAGTGTAAGCAAATAATGAAAGATAGAATCAAAAGGGAGAGAATGATCCTGTGGGGGAAGCAGAACACACAGCAGACTCACAGAATGGCAAACGCCCAAAACAGCACTCCTGCCTCAGAATCAACCCTGGGATATTCGGATCTGACTAAAAGGTCCATGAGAGTCTCGCAGGCATGGAAAGCCATGACACGGTGGCAAAAAACAATCTAAATGAAGGATCCTGGTGAACAACACCCCAGCAGAAGGATCAGGCCATCAAGGAGAGAGGCGCCTTTCTCTGAAGGGAGGAAGGAACCTCCACTGTGATATGGCCTTGACTAAACAAATTCAGAGTTGCTGATCTCAAGGGGCTTCCATAGCCTAGACAGCTCATAGCAAGAGTCTCAGGTGATTGCTGACATCATAAATAAGAGTGCCAATTGTTAAATCAACAACGGGAGTCACTGGGTTCATGCTCCCCACACAGGATCTCTGTCCTTAATATGTTTAACTATGAAACTCAAAAACAACACTACTAGTCGAACAATACCCTATACCTGGTTCGGTTGTGTGAGTGTAACCTGT